ATTCTTTTGTCAGGAATAAAATCCAGGCTAATTCTGCGACAGAGCTCTTCCCTAATTCCAGCCCGAATCCTACCCTCCTGTTGCGCAGCGGTAGTAGTAAGCAACGACACTTTCGACTTATTTGCAGTTTTGACATCGGCAGCAGTAAGACATCGCTCTTAGCTCTCTCTTTCGCGCGCGCGCGTGCACGCTTTCCGAGCGGGTAGGCTTGGGGCCAGCCTACGAAAGCTAAGCAGCGGCTGCGCCCGCCGGCTGATGCAGCCAAGTGCATTCGGCAGCTATAAACGCAAACTCAGCTCCGAGAGGCGAAGTGCAGCAGACGGCACTAGCTAGTTGGGTGCGAATAATAATTATATACTCATATACACACCTGCGCGCCTCAACTACAACATATACCGACTACGTTACTTGCATTTCAGCACAGACGCAGGCAGGTTGAAGCTATCAGAGCGCATACGTGAAGCACATATCACAGGCTCAGACTTAAATCCGTCATGGTGCACTAATGAAGCTATGTACGAAATGTACGCTTAGCGGAAACATGATTGAATGTACGGGTCACTGATGGCGTCCGTCATGCATCTGTCGTGCCCCATGGCTTACGTACAGCACCACGCCTTATATGTGTGTGGGGGGTGGGTTGGGGGGTGCATGTGTGTGTATGTGTGTGCATGCACGACCTCCCAAACGGCGGGCAAACCCAATCCATAGGCACATAAACACGGCCAACAATGCAATTACTGGCTTCGTCCCCCCCTTGCGTTTCGCTGCGTCTGAATGAATGCATTGAAGCCTCAGATTACACCGCTCACAACATACAGGATAGGCGCGAGCAGACGGAGCACGTGCGGGCATACATACGTTGGATGTGTACGGTCCGCACACCCGCCAACGTGATGAGTGCGCACATATGAAAGTCGTGCACATGAAAGCCAACATCGTCACAGCCAGCATCGTGACAGCCAGTGCACCACATCTACATCTACATCCCTGGAGAATACGGGCAACTCGCGGAAGCTCAAAGAACATTCCAACCACAGGCAGGGGTTTTTACCATAGGAGGGCTTTGACGCTGTCGTACATCTCAACATCTTGTACGGGCCATTACTGGCCAATCTTTCTCGTGACCTCAAAGGTTAGAGGTTAAAGATTAAAGGTAGAACTTTAGCATGACACCCGTTATGTTACGTTCTCAGGCATTCATTAACGAGTCAGGAGTAGACATCCATCGGGGATCCTAGACTTCCAAGCAGCAAGGTTGCGGCGTTGCTGCCAGCACTCAGTTTAGATCAAACGAGCCCTTGGCGTCTCTTGCATGGGTGCTGTTTCCCCCGTCAGGAACTCTGCTCGCTCGTTCTCCCTCGTGGAACACACATCTCGTGAAACACAAATCCACGTGCTCGCAGGGCAGGTGTTATCGGACGGCGTCAAAACCCCGTCTCAAAACCCTGGTTAATGCGACTGCTCCAAATCTCACAACCCCATTCATTATCGAGGCCCTCGACAACGTCCCCAACTAACATGTAGTTGGGAAACTGGCAGCGGTTCACCAGTAATCTGGTGGGGGCGCGTTGTCAAATTGTGGGGGCGTGTTGTCACTTGGTGGGGGCGTGTTGTCTTCCGGTGGGGGCGCGTTATCTTCCGGTGGGGGGGCGTATTCAATTGGTGGGGACCCGTTGTCCATTGATGGGGGCACGCAGTTTTCCGGCTGTG